GGAGAACATAGCTTTTTCAACTTGTTTCCGCAAATTGTAAAATGGGTCTCCTTCTACAAAAGGTCTCTATGTCCTATGTTTGGTTATTGAGATATGGCATATCTGAAATCTCACCAGCCGGTAGTGCTTGGAAAATTAACATTAGTAGGTATTTTAACAAAAACTCTTTTTTGGCAGGGCATGCTCGAGGTCCTTGAGATCCTTAGTGGGTAACAATGGTAATTTAATATGTTAATTTCATACTTTTAAAACACAAATTTATGTCACTCATTACATATTTTAACATTTTAAATTATTATTAAGAATTTCTAAAATAGTCAATACAACAGTTTATTTATGTCTAAATCAGAAAAATGTTTAAATTTGGAAACGTCCGTCGCATCGGGCCTAAATCGAGTTGACTTGGGAGTTGTGAATGAATCAACACCGTCAGCGGTCAGGAGCGGTCCGAAAAGGAGTTTAAATAATTATTTGTAAATATTTTATTTCAGCATAAATATGCATTTTAATTTTATTTAATCCCTATCTTCCCTTAAAATTAATGACATTATGACTGTATACTACACATTGTACTAAACCACTTTTAAGTATGATTTTTTATGCTAAGGGTTTTGCAGTAAATTTCCCAATTTATTATTGTACACCGCCATTTATTATTAAAAATTATATACAGGGTGTTTTTGAATGGAGTAGCATAAATGATACCAGTAAATATACATTTCAAAAGAACACGATCTGCAAAAAATCGCCTTAGTAAAATGTTCACCCCTGAAGAGATATCCATCATATCCATCAGTTTCCAAAAAAATTATGAAAATTGGCTGTAATTTGAAAACCGAACGAGGTACAAATAACAAATTTTTTACAGGTTGTTTACTAATACAGATGCGAGTTTTCAACTATTTTTCGAAAATTTTAACCCCTCGAAAGGGGTTGAAATAACCACCCCTCAAGCCATTTTTTGCCATAACTTTTATATTTCGTAAAAACTCGATATCCAAAAATACGCATTAGATAAACTGGTTCTTTTAGAAACTTTTACCTCTCTAGCAATTTTCCTTTAAAACTTTTCGTTTATTAATAAAAAAATAAAATGTATTACCATTCACCTCACACCGTATATGATTGCAATCAATCAAAGAAAAACTAAGTGTGCTGCTGTCATGCCAGTTGTCACAATTAACTCTTCTGTAAGTTGTCACTGTTATCAGCTAAATACTTTTTGGGTGTAAATTAACAAGAATTATGCCAAATTTTACTAATGATGAATATGTGGACATGCTACAAGTGTTTTTTTCTACGATCGTGCAAAATTTACTACTTATTGCACTACCTACTGTGCCAAAAGTTTAACTTTTTTTACAGTAGTACAAAAAAAATATTGATTACAAGTTTAATCTAAGCATATCCATAAGTACCTAACGTCTGACATTGACAATTTGCGCAATTAATTTCCAGTTGTCAGTTAAAATTTTAATATTATGTAAAATACTGTTAAATAAAATTTGAAATAAAAACAATCGTAGAAAAAATGTTGCGTGCAACATGTGCAAAAAGCATATTTGTTGCACTTAACATGATTGCAGCTCTCAACTTCGTCTCGAGCTGCAAACTTCATGCATCGTACAACAAATACACACTCTTTACAGTAGTTGCACAAATAACTGTTTGAATGTCGCAGAAACTTTTATTAAATAGAAGTACAATGAAAACGAAACTAAGAAATAATTTATTATCAAAAAGAGAAAAAACAAAAAACTTAGTTAAAGGACATTTTCAAAATAATTGCCATTTCTTTCTAAACACAACCTAACACGTTTATCAAAGTTGTTACGGACTCGAGCAAAAATTATGGGATTGTTGCGAATCTCATCAGCCGCCGCGAATATTCTTTCCTGTAGCTCTTCAACACTGTCAACTGGGGTCGCATAAACAATACTTTTTATATGTCCCCAAAAGAAAAAATCCATGGGCGTTAGATCGGGAGAACGTGCAGGCCAAGAGATAGGTGCCTCATTGCCGCGACCTATCCAACGATTCGGGTAATTTAAATTAAGCCACCGCCTAACTACTACAGTGCTGTGAGCAGGAGCCCCGTCATGCATGTACCACATGGCCTGACGTACATTTAATGGTACTTCCTCCAGAAGTGGTGGTAGATGCTCATTTAAGAACTGCAAATATTCAACAGCACCAAGTCGATGAGGTAAAACAAAAGGGCCGACAAGCACATTTTCTACAATTCCTGCCCAAATGTTTAAACTAAAATTATGTTGAAATGTTGTCATAGATACTTCGTGAGGATTTTCATGAGCCCAGGAATGAAGATTGTGCATATTGGTTAAACCATGTCTTTGAAAAGTTGCTTCATCTGTGAAAAGTATCTTTGAGGCAAAATTCAAATTATTTCTTAGAATATTAAGATACGATTCGCAAAAAACAACTCGCTTATGCATGTCTGGTTCAAGTAGATCTTGAACCGGCCGGTGGTGAAAAGGATATAATAAATTATCATGGACAATATTCCAAACAGGACACATTAAAGTGCATTGCTGTTTTTCTCGTACTAGTCTGACGATTTTCGTCAAACTCTTCAAGTACTGCAGTTTCAAGATAAACAGTACGAACAGTAGGTCTTCGGCCGGTACCCTCAATATGCGGCTGTATTTTTCCAGTTTCCCGAAGTCTTCGTTCTACCGCCGAAAAAGTTTGTCTGTGGGGAACTTGACGATTTGGATATCTCTCATTATACGCTCTTGTTGCCGTAGCACAGTTTTTGCGACATTCAAAATACACTTGTAGCATGTCCATATATTTATCATTAGTAAAATTTGGCATAATTCTTGTTAATTTCCACCCAAAAAGTATTTAGCTGATAACAGTGACAACTTACAGAAGAGTTAATTGTGACAACTGGCATGACAGCAGCACATTTAGTTTTTCTTTGATTGATTGCAATCATATACGGTGTGAGGAGAATGGTAATACATTTTATTTATTTATTAATAAACGAAAAGTTTTAAAGGGAAATTGCTAGAGATGTAAAAGTTTATAAAAGAACCAGTTTATCTAATGCGTATTTTTGGATATCGAATTTTTTCGAAATATAAAAGTTGTGGCAAAAAATGTCTTGAGGGGTGGTTATTTCAACCCCTTTCGAGGGGTTAAAATTTTCGAAAAATAGTTGAAAACTCGCATCTGTAGACAACCTGTAAAAAATGTGTTATTTGTACCTCGTTCGGTTTTCAAATTACAACTAATTTTCATAATTTTTTTGGAAACTTTGATGGCCCATCTCTTCAGCGGTGAACATTTTACTAAGGCGATTTTTTGCAGATCGTGTTCTTTTGAAATGTAGATTCACTGGTATCATTTATGCTACTCCATTCAAAAACACCCTGTATACCTAATTACTGCGCGCGTGTTAAACCGATGCGTTACCCTACTCTAGAAAGTCGCTAGTCCCGAGCCATGTGCAAACGATCCCACCACGACTTGTGCTAGTCAGGCAACAAAACCGGACCACACTGGCGGGAACCGACAGTTCCTAGTCCGAACTCACTTCCAGCGTTGAGTGAATGTCTAACTCATTCACTCAATGCTTCCTGGAAGACCATCCAAGCCGTAGTAACCACAACCGGAGCCCTCCAGGATCAACCAGTCAAGCGAGTAAGAATTCTCTTCCTTTACTTATTTTGCCATTCTTACCGAAGTACAAGTCCCAAAAGATTTGTATGCTTTTAAGTATGGAATTACTGCGGGCCCGAGATGAATATTTTTGGTAACCTGCAAAATTTCAGCGTTTCTCCTCAATCCACACGAAAGTGCACCCGGGAGATTCGACCGTGAATAACCCAATCTCCAGGCCAGGAAGCCTTCGTGTTACTTCGGCGTTGCCAGGTATGCGGCCTCGAATAACCCCACATCAGGACTTTACGCTGGGTAAATGGAGATACACGAACTTAGATTTAGAGATTCGGACGTGGAAACCGAATCCCCGGGTCGTTCGTGTATGAGGTATACATATGCTTTTCCCTGATTGGTCGTGAATAACCCATCAGACAGGAAGGCGTTGTATACTAAAATTCCGACGATTGACCTAAAGGCGGCCGTGCATAACCCCCTTTTTGGACGACGTCGGACACCGGGAAGGATAAAGCTTAGAAGGCAGTGCGAGTTACAAGACCAACTACTTCGGATCCTGATTATCTTCCTACCGTCACCCGATTTTCTTTGCTTTTGCACCGTTTGAGCTTTCTTCAATTGGGGCCAGTATAAGTTTATTAAAACTCTGTCTTTATTTTCAGCGCCGTTTAAAACCGATATTTTGTTTAAATCCGTTTAATTGAGATTGTTGTTAAATAGATGGGAAGTTTTAATTGGAATATCCTGTATATACAGGTGATGAAGTCAAAATAATATCAGTTCTTCATATATATTTTTTTCTTACGAGCCTTCGTAAATAAGTTACGGGTCCTAAAAGGTGAATTAACAAGTTATTTTTATTTACAGGCTCTAAACTATTAACTTCAGCATGATGCAAATTTGGTGATCGATAACACATGCGTATAGCTTGTTTTTGATGCTGTAGGTGAAATTTCATTATGCCCAGAACGCAAGGGACGGACTATGCTCAATGGTTAACAACCCACAATTTTTGCATAGATGACGATCGCAATCTGCCTGTATCAAAAATAAGTTCCCTGAAGAATTTGTCAACGATAATATCCTCTTGGTTCAACTCTATCGGTAAAATTAACATCGAGTGGCGCCTCCACCATTTTTTGTTTTTAATTTTTAATTGGATATAATTACTATGTTAGAACCGTACATATTTTTAAAATAAGAGCCTAGAAAATCTTACTGTCTGCTAACGTAGACAAAATAGGAAAACAAAACAAGAAATTAATTTAAAAGAAAGAAAACTATCAAAATACATTTTCAATATCTATGAATGTTATTTGTTTATATTTAGAGAACAGCCTCAATATAAAACTTACTTCCATAATAGAGCTTCCAGGAGAATTGAACAAAACTACTATCATGTAAACCGGAATACAAAATATAGATAAAGCCGCTATAATCCAGCCAATTGCAATTGCCCATCCAGGGTAATGATAAATACCATTATTGTAAGTTGGTGGTTCATAATCAATAATTAAAAATATCCATAAAGCAAAAATCATTAGTGGTGTAGCTATCAACCAGCAAAACTTTATAAAAATTCCTGGTTGACGTCCTGTCATTGTTTTAATGTTTTTGCTTAATCTCCAAGTTCCATAAAACCATGCCACGGCGATTACTTCAAAGAATGCCAGGTACATAATTGATATGGATGCTGCATAATGATCTATTAATTGAAAAAAGTATATTCCTCCCTAAAATACATATAAATTAATAAAATTATGGTAATTGACATTTTGAAAAATACAAATTGATAATCGTCTTTGCATTTTTTACACCAATGAATTGTAAAATACAGATCATTCAAAGATCCGTAAGTTCTTTATTATACATCATTATTTAATTTTTTATGTTAACAGTATTGTTTGCAAATTATTTAAGAGTCTATCTTGAATAAAGTTAAGAACAGGATTTTTTATACAAGCCATTAACCGCTCATTAGATGAAAATATTAGGACCTTTCTTCTGTTATTTTTTATTAAGGCGCCTTGATGCACGACCAAAGTTAAAATTTAAGGATGATGCTTATTGATAACACTTACCAGGTCTGTTCAAGAAATAACTTAACTTTATTTTTTTGAATTTTATTATTAATTTTATTGATCCTAGTCTCCTTCAAAATGCTCACCTCTCTTATTTACATATTTTTCCCAGCGGTGTTTCCATTTCGCGAAGCAGTCCTAAATAGCTTTATTTGAAATGGTCTGTGAGGAATTTGCTTTGATGTCATCAACAGTCTGAAAACGACGTTCTTTCAGCACTAATTTTAATTTCTGGAATAAGTAAAAATCGCATTGGCGAGTAAGGAGGGTAAGGGAGGACAGTAATCTGATTCTTGGCATAAAACTGACGGATTTTCAAAGCTGAGTGTGCGCCATAGACCTAGTAAACTATAAGGTCTATGGTGTGCGCACACATTGTCATAGTGCAAAAACCATGAGTTGTCTGTTTCACGTTGAGGCAGGAATTCAAAAGCACAATTCCATTAAAGTCGAAAAAACAGTGTGCGTCACTTTGACATTGGATCGAAACTGACGTGCTTTCTTGGGACAAGGAGATTTTCTACAAATCCATTGCAATGATTGAACTTTTGTCTCAAAGTCCTAGCTGTAAACCCAGTTTTCGTCTCTAGTTATGATCCTTTGAAAGAATGTTTCGTCATCATTGGATTGTTCAAGGAGGCGCCGACAAACGTCCACACGATTTTCTTTCTGTTGTTCGGTCATCAAATGAAGAACAAATTTTTCTGCAACTCGATGCATTTTCAATTTTTCAGTCAAAATTTCATGACATGACCCAATCGAGATGCTAACATCTTCTTCTCGGCAATCTCACCAGATCTTTGACTTCAAGGATCATCTTCAATTGACTGACGACTACTTTTAAGTCGCGAAAAACATTCGTAACATTGCATACGACCCAGAGCATCATCTCCGTAAGCTTATTTAAAAAGTTGAAACGTTTCCGTAAAAATTTTCCCGCAAAATTTTACGTTGTATCGTGGTTTCAGAAAATAGTACAATTAAAAAATCGCCACTAACACTTAAACGCGTTGCACTCAAATAATAATATCACGCAAACTAAATGAGATATCAACAATCCAAAACATATGGTTACAGATGAGGTTATACGCAACGCAATGCTGCCAACCGCATATCACTAAATGTCTCCATTAGCACATACTTCAAAGAGTTCGGTTATTTTCTGAACAGACCTCGTATTATACCCAATGGAAATTTGTACACTTATCTTTCATGTCGTCACACTTGTATTCTTGGTTAAAAAAAACTAACCAGTGAACAGAGAAAAGGGGTTGTACTAGTCATTTACACTTTTAAACTTTTTCTATTGCATAACCATGGGAAACGTGATTTTTGTACCAAAACCACAAATCTTTTCATTCTTTTCCATTCTTCAAACTTTTGTTTAGGGTTTGGTGTTTCATATATTGCGACATCTTTGGATATATGATTTTTTGTTTACATCCCACTTAAGGCCCAACGTTCTTAAAAAATGATTTTGAAATTTTGACTTTGATAGTTTTGGGTAAACGTTTTCATAATTTATTTTCAAATTAAGAAATTAAATTAATTTAAAATCAATTTTAAGTTAGCTACATTCTAATCTTAGAACGGAAAGAAGATATGCATAAGAAATCAACATTAAAATTTAAATGTCCTAAATGAACATAGGTACTTAAGGTTCTATTAAAGAAAGGAAACTTAATATAGCGGAAAATTTTAGTTAGTTTTAGCCCTCTACAGTTCGTTTTCACAATTAATTGTCAAACTAGTCACATTGTGCTAAAAGAAAATTTTTTTAAAAAAAATCTTAATTGCAAAAAAATGATATTTACGGATATTTCGCAAAACTTAATTGCAATATCCTTTTTTTTATGAGGACTAATAAGTCCGAAACCGGTCTGTGCCTAATGGGTTAAACTGACGAACGATCCTAGCTGTCGCACTAGGTGTTGCGAGTATAATTCAATGCCGGTCGGGGCATATAGTCCTCGGAGTAGTTGTTTCTCGCAATACTGGCAATTAAAACATTGTGTTTCGCCCTCCGTGGGTGGCAGTCGTGCAACAAAGTACCTGCAATATAGCAGGTCGCTTCCTACTGCAGCCATTTGAATGGCACAGTTGGGAGTCAGCACGACAGATGAAGCGATTTGCGCTCCGCGTACAATTAATTGCAATATCAACAAAAGATGCTCTAAATTAAAATTTGAAATACAAAAAAAGTACATTTGAAGTTCAGCAATCTCCTCTTTCTCTATTTGCAGTTAGATTTTTATTAAAAATTTCACAAAAAATATTTGCCTTCTAGAAGCCCATCCCATGCACAGTTTCAACTGAATTTCTTCCTTAAAAATCAATAGACTTAATTAATAAACTGGCATAAAGAATATTTTCGCTCAAGAATCTGCGATTAGTGGCTTGGCCTATTTTTCTCTAAATCCCAATATATGATATAAAAATATAAATAAAATGTTGTTACTAATTAATGTAATATATTTACCTACTTATTTCTAGTGATTAATATTAGTAAGCTGCTTACCTGAGTAACATTCGGTATTCCACAGAGGAATGATACAAAGCAAACAACCAGCACTAAAGCTTCATGGCACATCAATCTTTTTTTTATCCAAATTGGAAACCCGTCTTGAATTGATGTGACCACAACCTCCACAATAGCAAACTGGAAATATGTAATTAATAATGATTATAGTAATGATGCCAATAATGATAATGGAAGTAATAATGATAATGACAATGACAATGATAATCATATTGATAACACAGCCATCAAGTAAAACTACTACTACTGGTTATTGGAGTTATCAGTTATGGAGTTATGGGATTATACAGGGTGTTTCTAAAATAGGATTCCAAACTTCTGCTCCGTTTATAACTCATTAAAATAAGCCAAAAAGTTCATATTAACATGTGCCCTAAAATGCATCGTTAGGCATATAAATTATATGCCCTTAAAAGGGCTCAAACAAAACTGTTTTTTTTTTTCAAATAAATTGAAGTTATGAAGGATCCGATCATTTAATAAATAATTTAGGACATAAACTAAGACTATTTAAATTTAGAGTTACACTTACTAATTAAAGAACTAATTACTACTGCAGACAATAGCTAAATATGAAATAGAAAATAATGGGATTAAAATTAGTAATAATAAATTAAATTACAAGAACTGCTCGCAGTGACCACCTTGCATTTCGATGCATAATCTAGCTCGATGCTTTAATGATTTGCGAACTCTTTGGAAAATTCTAGGTGTTTGTCTTATTTCCATGCACGCGGTTTCAATTTCCTCTCGTAGTTGCTAAATGGTCTCAATTGGAATTTTATAAACCTTAGCCTTAGGTTGACCATACAAAAAATAATAGTCCAGGGGGTTAAGGTCAGGGGAACGTGGAGGCCAGGAAACAGGACCTCCTCGGCCTATCCATTTTTCTCCATACAACTCATTTAAGTGTTGTCTTACATTATGTAGGTAATGAGATGGCGCCCCGTCCTGCATAAACCATATGCTTTGGCGTTCAATTAAAGGGACATCTTCCAAAAGTCCTGGAAAGTCTATAACTAAAAAATTGTAATAATCCTCACCATTCAATCGATTAGGCAACACAAACGTTCCGATTAGCCGATCGCCTAAAATGCCTGCTCAAACGTTGACGGAAAACCGAATCTGATGTCTGGATTGAAATATGCTGTGTGGGTTTTCATCAGCCCATTCATGAGCGTTATGAAAATTGACATAACCATCTTTACTGATGTTTGCCTCATCCGTAAACTAAATAAGAGATGCAAAATTCGGAATCCGCCTCGATTTTCGCAAAAACCATTAGCAGAACTGCCGACGTGGTTCGTAGTCATTCGGATTTAAATCTTGAACATGCTGGATATGAAAAGGATGAGGTAATTGTTCGCAAAGAATTCGCCAAACTACGGAAAAAATTATGTTATGCATGTTATCCGAACACCCTATATATATATTTTCATATTATTTGTATATTGTTTTATAACAATTATCTACTTATAAGTGTCTCTTATTATTTTGCTGACAATAGAAAATCGCCTGCTGAGTTGCTAGCTGATAATAAATCGTATAAATACCCAACCAGCCGCTCAGGAGGACGATTATAGATTCAAACTTCACCTAACGCTATAATTAAGACAAATAAAAGTGTTCTCTTCAAAATTTGTTATAATTTAAAGTTATCTACGGTTAGTGCTGCTAAAATTCATCGGATCAGAACTGCTAGGGGTTGGTCAACTAGCCGCAGCTTCCCTGTAGACAACGACCCAATAACTGGCGCAGTCGGTAGGATCCAATAACTGGCGCAGTCGGAACCGGATTTTGTACCAGAGGCCATTCTAGTTAAAGAACAAGAAGAACCTGTTCATAGCTGCTGTATTCTTCAAGTTCCTAGAGCCCCAACTTCCGGAAAAGGACCTCACGAAGAAACACTGTACAGGAAGACTCAACTTCAGGAAACCTGTTGTCCACCGCCAAGGCTCTGCTGTATTTCCAAAAAGTAAGTCCTTTCCTAAGTCCTATAATTACATTGCTAACAGAAGTGAATCTATTTTCCATTAATTTTAAGAAATTAGTATTAAGACATTTTTAGTCAACACACTAGTAACGAACTTAGCATTATTCTGTTAGGAGTAGGCAGATTGAGGCCTAACAGAGCTAAGTGAGCCAACGTTGAGACTACAAGATAAAAACAAAATTTATCTTGATTAATTTTAATTTTTTTTTAAAATAAATAAATAAGTGGTTATTTCTCAACCTGTTGAATTAACGTTTAATAAATGAAAGTAGAGGCAAAAATAATTGCCGCAACTAATAAAGAAATTGAGAAAAAGAAAAGGAATAAACAATTTAATCCTTTCAAAAATTCTAGTGAAAGACAATTGCAATTTGTCTATAATAAGAACGAGGAATTACCTAAATTAGTTATAAGCACAACAAATTTAAATACAACTAAAACAGAAAATCAATAATTAAATAATTTTAATGCCGAAAGTTCCGTTAATTCGACCAAGTCGTTTTAACCAAGATTTGGACGAGCCAATCGTTTTCCCCAGTACTTCTCAAACAGAAGATCTTGCTGTACCCGCTTTATTTGTTAACCCTTTACCAGAAAACCAATTAAATATGAACCAACAACCTATAGATTACGCTCTTGTACGTATGTACATTGAGAATATTCCAAAATTTAGTGGAGAAAATCCCCAGCTCTTGCAAAAATTTATTCGTGCTGTTGACGAACTCTTTTTAGCTTTTCCGTCCGAAAACCAAACATTTAAGTCATTTCTTCTTTCATCAGTGAAAGCTAGATTAATAGGACAAGCAGATTTGTTCATATCTTGTCGATTATAATTAGACAATTGGAACGCATTAAAACAATTATTGTTAGAATTATTTGGAGATGGGCATACTATCTCTTCTTTACAAAATAAATTAATTTACATTCAACCGGATAATAAACTATCACCAAAACTTTTAAGTCAGGAAATCATGAGTATTCTAAGCAATTTAGTTGCAAAAATTAATGAACAAAATCGGCCTATTGAAGAAAAACAGGCTCAAGTAAATATCTATTCGGAAATGGCCTTAGAGACATATACGCGTTGTTTACCTGTTCAATATAAACAACTAATTAGAACTAGAAAAATCACAAATATTACCGAAGCGATACAAGCCGTTACTGTGGAGGAACAATTTGAAGAATCATCCCGAAAATCTAATCAAAAAGTATTTCTACAAAAACCTAGAAAAAACGCACCAAGACCAAATCAGTACTATCAACACACTCATGCCTTACCAACCAACAATTTCCAAAAATTCCAACCTCAACAATCTAATTTTCAAAATTTTAATAGAACACAACCTAATTTTCAAAATTCTAATAGAACACAACAACCAATTAGACAGCCATATTATAACAATGTAGCTTCTACAAAATAACCGACACCTACCCCAATGTCAGGTGTATAAGATTAATAGGGTTGTAAAAGACACCACCGAGTTCAAACAAACTATTTTAATTGGGAAAAGATATACAGATCAAGCTTGGTCTATCTATCGATACAGTAACCAACTGACTGACTAATACTTCCTTAAGCATTTCTAGGGTGATCTCATTTATAGTTTACAAAAGCCTAAACGCACAGTCTGCAATATTATGCCAACGCCTCGCCGGTCGTCAAGGCCAAGCGAAATCTGCTACGCTACCATTTTAGCGGACTCTAACATTCGGCCATCCTGTACATGCGGACTGTCCCAGACCCTCCGCCGCGCCGCCATGGTGCTCGTCCAGCTACCTGTCAGCAAAACATACAATAGCCTGACCGACTACTACAGTCACAGGCAATATAACTTTCTTTTCTGTACAGTCGTAATCAACTTCTAATACTTATACTTCTAGTATACTTCATTTAACTCATACAAATTACTCAGAGGCAGTAACGGCCTCAGTCACTTGTCTACTCAGAGGCAGTATCGGCCTCAGTCACTTGTCTAACCATTATATACCTGGTGTATCTACGTATTGGCTCCGACAACAAGTAGGTAGACCGACCTCAGTTGTTATCTTCCCAGCATCAACGTCTCACACCCTTCCAACATCATCGCATTAATACATCAAACATCTTTATATAACATCACACGCCTCGACTCAAACAATAGGCAGGCAGTATCGGCCTCGGCTATCATCATCCTTGTCTTGACGTCTTGTGACCTAACTACGTTTTACTAACCTTACATTTGCATCATAGTTATCTATTTCTCAATCTTATCAGCTGCCACCACTGTAAGGCCTTTGTGTCAACGCTGATTGTCCCGTAAATCTTCCACCTCATATCTGTCATTACAAAGTACCTTAGTTATCCTGAATGGTCCTTTATATTTCGGTAACAGTTTTTTACTCGACCCGGTATATCCAGCACTTGTAATCAGAATACGAACCAAGTCGCCTGTATCAAAACGCATCGCGTCACGTCTCTGTTTATCGTAACGTTCCTCTTGCTTGCGCTGATCAAGGTCAATATGCTCTTTCATAGCACTTCTCAAATCGGAGATGTTCACGCGATCCACAGCTAATTCAATAACTTTGCTTCAGCCATCGGCCTTGCCTGATAACCAAATAATGCCCGAACTGGCGTGGTGTTTATACTATTATTAAATGTTGTATTCAACGCACTTTGCACATTTTTTTACATGAATGTCCCATTCATTACTGTTTCATTCAACTTGTAGTGGTTAACATATTGAATATGGTTCTACTATATCTTTCACAGTGTCCATTTGATCGCGGAGTAGCGACTGCATTTAAGACATGCCGAGCCTCTGTCCGTAATAATACGCACTGGCACTCCAAAAGTTTCTCACATTTTCCCCTTTGTTACCGGTTAGAATGTTATTTGATGTTGTTAGATTAGAAACGTTACCGATATTTACTGCAACGTCGACGCTTCGAACTTCAAAACACTCAAGGTCGCTAACTGAAGGTCCTTTCATTTCTAGTTCTCGCATAAACACGTTGGTTCCCAGTTTCAATAATATCACGTTCGGTAAGTTTATAAAGTCCCGACCGATGATGCAATCATAATTCATTTGATTGTTGTTTAACACCGTCGCTGTTATCACTGCGCTGGGTTGTCCGACACGCACAT